AGGAAGTCCACAAACTGTAGTTAAAAGCCTTCAGCTGATCCAAAATGCTGCAGCCAGAGTTCTGATGAAAATTAAAAAGAAAGATCATATCTCGCCTATCCTGGCTTCTCTTCATTGGCTTCCTGTTAAATCCAGAATAGAATTTAAAATCCTCCTTCTCACATATAAAGGCTTAAATGGCCAAGCTCCATCTGATGTCAGAGATCTGATTGTTCCTTATGTTCCTAACAGAGCACTTCGCTCTCAATCTGCAGGTTAGTAGAATGCGTTGCAGATCTTTTATTACCAGGCTCCTCTCCTGTGGAGCTAACTACCAGTTTTAGTCCGTGAGGCAGACACCCTGTCTACTTTTAAGGCTAAAAAAAAAACTTTACTTCTTGATAAAGCTTATAGTTAGAGTGGCTCAGGTTATCCAATGCTGTCTCCATAGTTATGCTGCTATAGGCTTAGATTGCTGAAGGACCGTTTCATCATTCTGCTTCATTCTATCGCTTTTCACCCATTCTGCAGTATAATGTTCTGCTCTCTTTGCTTTTTCTCATAGTAGCTTCATCTGGTGTGTTCCTGTTTGGCTGTGACTCCATCCTGGAGAGAAATATCTGCTGTGCTGCTGGACCTTTGTTAATAGATGCTGGAGCTTGGCCTGTTTTTCAGTGTAGTCCTGTATCTCTTACTATGACTAATTGTATGTCCTCTGACACGGCCACTGTCTGAGAGCTCATCTGCCTCTTTCAGGGACAGGGCTGCCTATTTTACAGTTACCTTTTATATCTCTTCTTTCTGTACGACTACTTCCGTCTCCTTGAACCCCAGTTGGCCTCGGCAGATGGCCGCTCACACTGACCATGCTTCTTGTAAAGGTTTTTTCCTGTTAAACCTGAGTTTTCCTTCTCACTGTCGCTAAGTGTATTCCTGGTGTGAAGGATTGCTGTCCAGTCAGTGAGTCTATGGAATGAGTCAGCAATCTGACTGTATGAGCAGCTTGAATTGTCCTTGTAAAGTGCCTTTAAGTGAGACGACGGTGTCGTAAATTGGTGCTTTATAGATAAACTGAATCACTGAAAAAAGTGTGCATGTAGTAACATGGCTTTCAAATTTCCTCCATGTTTTCAGACATATTTGTGTCAGACTAATAACATCCAACTTTAGCTGCAGGGCTTATGCTTAGTCATGTTTGTGTTTGACCTGCATTCGATTTTTTGTTTGCAACACCTCCCACCCGTTTATAGTCATCACTCATCTGACAAAACAGATCACTATGACAAGTGGGAGACTCCAGTATATTAAAACATTGGAAAAACAAACAAATGAAGACACTTTGTGATAAAAACCTGTTTTTTTTATTTCTGAATGAAAACTAAAATAGTTTTTTAACAGCACATTACAAGGGCATTGGTTTTGACATTTTTTTCCAAGGCTCAGTGATCACTTTCATACAGTACATCTGGCATGTACACGGCATCTCCTTCAAATTAATGAAAACAAGGGGGGGGAAAAAACATTGGGGGAAGGAAGATTTAAGAGATGTCTGATTGTACATTTACCAAGCAGTTTGGTTTGGTTCTAAGCCACAGAGAAATGGACCCAACGGCCTGCGGACTGCAGGGCATCGGCACCAGAGGCACAGAGAAGTGAAAAAGGACATCCCGTAATAAGCTCAGCAGCTTTAAAGTGTGTCTAGATATCTGCAAATCAGATTTAACATTAGAATAAAGATGGCTTCTTCTGTCATCTTATGCACACAGTTCCTCCCTCATCCTTTAACATCTCCAACTTTACGTTTGTTTTACCATCACAATCCTTTTGCGTCAAACACTTTCTTACTGACTCCACCCCTTCAGCTCACAGTTCCCTTTCTTGTTCACAAATCTTACAATCATTCACAGAATGACAGTTAAATAAGAGTGCTGAAAAAAAAAAGAAAAAAAAAAAAGCAAATGAGGTAAGAAAGTGGTCCGATTACAGATCATGCAGAACGAGCAACAAAATATTTATAGGGAAGGAGAGAAATAAAATGTGCATTCAATTGAAAATGATGACTAAACAGTTTTTGAGTCTTTGGTTATAAAGTAGGTTGAACAATTTTCACAGTTTTTCATCTCTTAAAGAAAAAAAATAATTTGTTTTGAAAAAAAAAAAAAAAGCCTAGAAAAAGTAAAATTCATAGTTTTCTTTATTGAACCATCCCATCATTTTTTTTTTATCTTAATAGGTACTGTCCTGTACAAACCCCCCACACTCTTTAATACTTTACAAAATATACATTCAACCTGGATTTCACCTCATAAAAGCTCATCTTTAGTGTTACCACCAGTTCTTGAGAACAATTTCAACCAAGGAATTTATTGCCTACTTATTCATGTTGGAAGAAAAAAAACAAATAAACAAGCAAATGTTAAACCTGACAGATCTTAAAATACTAGGAAACTAAAGTCGTTTTGAATTTGTAACTTCATGACATTGTTCATTTTATATTATGAAATAGCAGCCCTGAAATAAATAGAGAAACAAAAATTGCTAAAACTGAACTACTGATGACTTTTTATTATGATTCATGTCAAAGTACGGTGGCTTTGAAAAAACAAGCATTCGATGCAGCACAGACATATATATATATATATATATATAGATAATTTCTTTTAAAAGCGTAGACTGTTGTCTCTCTCTCTCTGCCTATCCTGTCCTCCTCAACGAGGACGTGTTCTTCGCTCATTCCGACCGGCACCATGTCTGCCTACGGCCTCCCCCTCTACCAGCCCTGAAGTGACGTGGACGCCTGGAGGACAGTTTGCGTCAGATGTTTGTTGTTTTTTGCAGGAACTCTGTCACTAATACTGTCCAGCACTGTTTACCCCAACAGTTTAAGCTCACTGAGCTTGGTAACCCTCCTGCCTCCTGCACAAGGATACATTTAGTTTAATGCCTCACATTCAGCCGAGCACAGGACACAATAAGACTAAGTGTTGGTAAATGTCTTGACAGTGTGACGGCCCTGTGCTGGCATCAATGCATACTAATGCACTGAGCAGAGCCATGCCTTCTGCTTAAAGGGCTAAGAGGACAGTTTGGTGTTTTTCTTTGTTTCTCCAACGAGGACATTCTGCTCCTGTCTGTGGGAGGCATGTCCTTAAAACATGTGTTTAAAGGGGGGAAAATAAAGGGAGGGTGAGGGGGTTCACGCCGAGGTGATGTTTGGCTGATAGGAGACGCCTTGGCTCCCCTCGTGGTGAACCAGAGAGTGGCCGCTGTTTTTGATGAACGGGGGCTGATGCAGCTGCAGCGGCGGTGAAAGGCAGCTGAGCTGGCTGGACAGCTGGGTGAGCTGCTGGGTGTTAGCCAGCGACTTCAGCACGGCGTTCTCGCGCTCCAGCACAGAGTTTCTCTCGTAAAGCTCTTTGATCTGCTCCTTCAGCACCTCCACCTCCTCGCGGACGGCGTACATCAGGTGGCTCTTCACCAAGTCCTGAAGCGGGAAAGAAAAAAAAACAAAAAACAGGGAGGTTAGGATACCAACTTTTAATGTAGAGGAACAAACTAGATCCCTTATCGAGATAAAGCGGTGAGGTCTGATCTTTTTTTGGCACCAGGTTGTCCTCAGGTGACCTGAAAAGTCGATTACTTATCTTAGATAGAATTTTTTTATGATTACCAACTGTCTTTTAACAGTGCAAAGAAGGTTGCAGAAAAAAAGCAATCACTGTGGAGGCATGTAGGAAATGTGTTCAGCCTTAGTTGAAATATACAAAATCATAATTACCATGGCCTGCTCAATCTTGTTATCGATTGCGACCACATTGGCACCAGATGCACTGTTGAAAGGAAGAGCGAGAGATAAGACATCCATTCAGCTTTCATCATGCGCTTCAGATTCATATCAGCCATTTCTTATTCACTAATAATATTAAACTATTTCATCAACTCTTTTTGGAGCAACAAACATCAACCGAGGGTTCTTTTTTATGGTTAGGAGTCAAATGTACCATAGAAGAACAATAAAAGTAGATTTAAAAATTTTTCAACATGTTTAAGAGTAGTTTAGACCTCATGTATGTAGAATTATGGGAACATTTTGATGAATGCTGTTGTTTACTGACCCCAGAGAAAATCAGAAATAAAAAAAAACAGATTAAGATTAACGGCGAAGAGTTCAATCTAAAACATCCCAACAATAAAATATAGCTACAGTCCAAACATTCATTATTAAGACAAAAAGATCTCTCTAAGGGGAGACACTCTTTGACCAAACAGGGACAGATAACCAGCTAAGTGGCTATAAATTCTTAGATAAAAGCGAAAGAGGCAGTAAATGAGCAAACAATGAGGCAGACAGGCCTTACACTATACATACAGTAGATAAGAAATATAAAAAGGGAGTATTTTCGCAGTAGCAAGCTCTTTTAAATTAAGATATCCCAAATCTATGTTCTTTTGCAAACATGTTTCAACATAGATCAATCAAATCTATTGTTTCCCACCCCCTGTAATCAGACATTATATTATTAGCAGCCTGTTTCCATGTGTTTCTATTGAAAAAACAGCATCTGATATTTGACCCTAAGCTGTAAAAACACATTTCTAATCCCTTTTATTCTCTGCAATACAGTCAGCACAGCATTAACCGTTTATTTATAAAGTTAGTTTCTTTAATAGACCTATAGGGAGCACATGGTCTCCTATACAATCCATTAAGTGTTGCCGTCCTGCGTGCTGGAGCGCACGTACAGCGCTGCATGGAGCCCGCTGAGCGCAAACTATAAACACACGGCGAACACAGGCCACATTATAGGCGGAAACATGGAGAAAATCACCCAGCCGGACCCAAACCAGCTGTTGGTTAAATATAAAGAGGAGCCGCCATGCAGAGAGCGGGATGATCAGCAGCTAAACGCGGTGGTTTACCTGACGCATCTGGCTCTGTAGGACACCATCCTGCCTGAATGAGGAGGAGAGATTCCCGGGGAGCAGGGCAGGCTGTAGCTCATCATGCAGCGCATGTTTCAACCTTCAGATTGATCCTTTAATATTTACTAGCGAGGTTTAAACACCTGATCGAGTCTAGTGTAGAAAGCGGACAGAGTTTCTTTAAAACCCCGCTGGATCACATGGCAGAGCCAAGCCCCGCCCCTAACCCCTCCTCTATAGTTTTCTCCCTCAGGGGAAGAAAGTTGCTCAAGAAACACGTTCCCTCTCTATCTACCTGCGACTGGCTGGAAAAACCTGGTGTTAATTTAAAGAAAAAGAAGCAGCGATGCTTTGCATGTAGAGGCAACGTTAGTCAAGCTGAGCCTGTTTTTTTCTGAGTAACCATAACATGTTTAAACTGTTTTAGGAACCAAATGATCCATCTATCCCTAATATGGTAAATAAAAAAAAGATGGGGTCCAGTAAAACAATTGAAAGCGAGTTTGAACAAATGTTCACTATTTAACTATTTCTTAAAGGATAAATGGAAGTTTACAGAATTGGATTTTGAATGGAAAACTTGCAAAATCAGAACTATATAGAAAACATCCAAGAAGATCCAGGAAAACTGTTTTTCATATTAATATTTACTTTTTCTACTAATACACAAAGGAAGATGGTGTTTTTTTATTTTCCCTTTGTGCATGGATGCACTTTACAAGCATATGGGAAGCCAAAAAAGTAAAAAAAGAAAAAAAACAAAACAAACACTGGATTTTGTTTTCCAAGTTTGAAGATGTTTCATACAGAAGAGGATTAAACAACAAAAAACAAAACAAAAAGTTAACTGATTTTTTTATTTAATTCAGTATAATATGAGAAAAAAGTCAGAATTCTGACTTTATTCTCAGAATTTTGGATCTTAATGTAGATGGAGGAAGAGATGTGGGAGCACTCAGCTTCACTGACAAAGATGTGAGTTGTTTGGGAGGGCCAGTTACACATTGGTGAAAAATTATGAAATTAGGCAACTTTTTATGTGTCTGAGGGGTCCCCGGTGATGCTATTTCATTAATGGAAGAGCAGAAGGGGATTAAAACAAGAGAGCTAGTCTGTAAAACAGACATAGCTATGGCTCGATGCTAACATGTTTGTTAGCTGTCAGAATTCTGACTTTTTCCCATATTAAACTGAAATAATATATAAAAATCAGTTAACTTTTTTTATTTTCCAATGGCCCTAATCCTCTTCCGTAGTTTTGCTTCCTATCCATAAAGCTTTCACAAATCGGAATGTCTGGAGGAGCTTTTTTGAAGTATCTTCACAAGCAGAGAAATTTAGAAATAAAAAAAAGAAAACAGATTAAGATTAATGGTGAAGAGTTCAATCTAAAACATCCCAACACTAAAATATAGCTACACTCCAAAGTATCTTGAAGTATCTTCACAAGCATAGGGGAAAACTTTGCTTTCCTTCTCTTTTCTACATTTCAGTGAATAAAAGCCACCCCCTGACTTCTCTACTGCACACAACAGGTAAAAGAGTTTACCAATCAAAATGTGTGATATTGGTGATAAAACACCCAAAGCAGAAGACATCCCTCTCTTTGAAGTAGGTACATAAACATCTGGGACAGGGAACCAGAGGAATGTCCATGGGCTCTGACTGGAATGTGTTTTCATCAATAACAAAACACAAGAGGCATGCAGATTGAATCAGATTAGCCAGTTAAGCGACTTTGAGATGTGTCCAGAAGGAGTTACATGAAATGTTATGATCAGGAGGGGAGGGGTGGGGGTCAGATGCTATTTGGTGTCCAAGAAAAACAGTAAATTGTACATTTTATTCAATGAGGAAGACATGTGGGGGTTTATATAAGAGCCACTTGCTGAGTTAGCCTCTACACGGACCTTCCCTGCAGATTGCAGCAGCGGTTTCAGGCCCCCCAGGAACGACGTTAGGACAAGGCGGCACATTCCAGCTCAGGACACCCCTGAACCCGAACATCTGCGCCAGAGAAGCCATCATGCTGCGATAACATAAAGCTGACAGACTTTCCCCTCTTATATTCATCATGTATGCTTTACTCCTCATTAAGCTAAATGTATGTGCAGCTACACTTCATGACATACACCTAATTACCCCCATTCACCATTTTACATGATATGTTTATAGTTTCAGAAACCCAATATGTTCTTCATTAAAACCACAGACGAAGCGGCACACGTCCCCGATCCTGAAAGCCCACAAACAGGCACCGTGGGGGAGGCAGCTGAATAAATCAGACCTGGGGCTTACTCCTCTCCCCCCTCGCTTCGTATTTCAAAACAATAACTGGAGGATGGGGGCTGGCAGCTCACTGCTGCTCTCTTACAGATGCAAACACAGCTCTGCTTTAGCTGCAAGTGATATGAAACATGCAGTTCAGCTATTCGACCAGATGGGGGCAGTAGACGCTTCAATCAGCACCTATGACTCCTCAAGTTCCCATTTGATGCCATTGCCTTGATGCTTTCAATATGCACCTTTGCATGGAAAGAGTTATACTGAGGTAAATGCTGCTTTAATTTAAAGAATTGTTTCTGTAAAGCTGAAGGACATTACATACCACCGGTTATATATATTTAAAACTTTTCTTTCTTAAATTAAAGAAAAAATATATTTTTCTTTAAATCTACTTATTGTCAAACAGTTTTAGATGTATCATGTTAAGCAGCAGAAATTCTAATGACCACACACCTAAAGCTGTATTCTGGAGATATTACTCTCTTATTTACCCAATCAAAAAAAAAAAAAGTACATTTAAGGCACAGTCCATTTTTTCATATAGTTTTAATACTGCATTTTGCTGGGGGAGTGGCGGCCTAGTGGTTAGAGCATATAGTTAGGAATACTGAGGTTCTGAGTTCGAGCCCCACTCCAACAGACTGCCACTCTGGATCCCTCAGCAAAGACCCTTAACCCCACACTGCTCCCCGGGCGCCGCACAATGGCAGCCCAGTGCTCTTCAAGGGCATAAGTTAAATGCAGAGAGTTAATTTCGTTGCTCTGTACTTGTGACAGTGTAATGATAATAAAACGCTTTGGGTAAAAAAAATGTAACAATTCAATCTCAAATACTGATTTAAAAATAATCCTGCCACAACTGTAGAGATGTTCGTTTCTTCTTCTTAAACATGACGTCTTTTGGATGCTTCATCAACATAGAAACGGGCCCAGAAACACACAAAGACCAGACAAGCTAGATCTCAAAGCAGTAAAGTTTTATTCCTTCTACCATTAAATCAGTCTCAGCTAGGTGTGTCTGCTGTCATCGAACTTCCTCAAAAAAAGCCCTTTGGCTACATCCCCACCTATGGCTTAATCACTAAACTGACATACAACCAACCATGCATCCAGCTGTATATTCAGCTTGCAAACCTGATGTTACACAGTGGCGACCGACCAGCTAATCCTCCAATAAAACACTAACTATTCCAGTAAGAGCAAAGCTGGATGACTGGGAGCATGAGAAGCAGCCGACTTCTTCAGGGGGGGGCGAGGATAAGCTCTGAATTATTTGGTCGGTGGACAGACTTTATTTCTGTTAATTAAACCCATTTATACACAGCTCTGTTATTTCTGCTTGGTTTGGGGCTATAACAATTGCCAGCAGGGACGGTTCATGATGGCTCCAGAGCCACATCCACTCATTCTGGAGGAACCATAAAATAACTTTAGGAGTCACATGACAAAAAATACCAGAGAGACAGTGGGGGGGTCCCAGGCAGGGGGTTTTCCAGCCTGAAACAGTACTTGTTGATAAGTTATCAGCTAAAATCTAATCTTTACAGTCCACAGAATAAGCATTTTACCCTCTTAGATTACTCTTTTTGCTTCTTCAATACTTCAGATCAAACAAAATAGCATCAGAGAAAAGCAGCCTGAGTAAATCCAGAATCCAGTTTTTATATATAGCGTATTTGCATAGGGAGAAAAAAAAAAAAAAAACATCTAACCAAGCAAACTTGGCACCATGCTAGGAAGTAATTATCTCGTTAAACCTTGGAACTGGTTGCTCCAGCCTTGCCGGCAACATCTGATGTAGAGTGTTAAGGAGAACTTGCGGTGAGTCGCTAACGATGCTGTGGCGGGTTTTTTTCTTTATCAGCGGGATTGTTTCAATTCAGCCAAACTGAGGTGTTTTCAGGGATGGAAGGTCATGTGATCATGTATACGGTGGATTTAGGTCCAGACTTTGACTAAGCAAGTCCAAAACCTCTGATTCATTTCACTTGGCCATTCAGAGGAGGACTTGCTGATGGAGTTCGAATCACTGACCTCACATCATAATCCTGCTTGAGTTTAAGGTCACAAACTTCATGAGCTCTGAAATGGGTTTTTTACACCAGATGTAATGGAATGGACCTTTTCCAAAGACGTTCACTCCTATCATTGCCAGTTCATGACAGGGCCAACAGGGGCCAATGCCACTGTAAAATGCTCACAGACCCCGTTATGGCCCCTGTACTGAAGACATAATACAAAATAAATTATGATAAATAGAGGAACAGAAAGCACAATTTATTAATCCCTAGAACCAACTGCTTTTTATTAGTTTAACATATTTTTGTTTTGATGATTAAAAAAATGTAGTTGCTGCACATTTTACCTTTAGTGATGTCAATATAGTTTAGGTTTAGTTTTACATTTTTATTCATTGATCATTTAACAAAGCAGTGAACATATTCTCTGAAGACTAAAGAAATGGGAAGTTGATTAGCATTATATTCTGATTGTACTCAAACATTTACACTTTCCAACAGTGCTGTAATTTCAATTTGTACATTAATATGTTGCTAGGGAAGAGAGTGTCAATCAACACAACCAAAACAAATATCAGAATCAGACATACTCTAATAATCCCACAGGGAAATGACTTAATAGAAAACAAATGGATATAAACAAAAAGATAATAGAAATATAATAGAAAACAAATAGAAGTAATGTGTATATGTGCTTCAATATACAGTTTATCACTTTTTTTAAGTAACAGTAATTTTACCAACTTTTTTACACAATCTGGATTAAAAACCTTCTGGAATTTGATCACTGCGATAGCCTTAAACATGAGGCATTAAAGGGAAAGTCCTGGCACCTCCATGTAAACAAGGCCTCTGTATTCGCACAA